CCGTTCCATCCATCCTGCCAGGCTATCACACAGAGGAACTATTCATGCCCACATTCACACCTCCCTCCAGTTTAGAGTATGTTAACCTAACTTAGCTGTCTTTTGAATGTAGGGTGTGGCGTACCCTGTGGCAACTCACGGCATCACGGGGAACTCATGCAAACTCCAGGCAGAAAGCTCCAACAGGCTGGTGACTTAAAACCCAGGACCTTCATGCTTTTAATTAACAGAGCTAACCACTCCATCACTGTGCAATCCAATTTAAAAAGAGATGTGATATAATACTATGTATGGAAATCACTGCTTGGGCTCAAGAACACTTCTGAAAGACTCATTACAGCACGACCATGTCAGACCATATTTTATGTGGTTGTGTACAGTATGGCTCCTAAACTGGCCTGTCCAATGTCCAAATCTTTCACACACTGCAAACATGTGGACCACAAAAGCAAAAAAGGTGATGCGGCACAGCCTTCTTTAACCCTCTCAGGCTCAAATTAAGTTTTAGTTGCTAATGGACAACCAAGTCCTGCAGTGGTACTTCTGAGTAAAAAAAAAAATGTATGTGGGGTAATCAGGTTGTTAGTTTTTAACCGTTGCAAATCGGCAACGCCTGCCTGGAGAGGGTTAAAAATATTTTTTAAAAAGGTTTTAGATTTTTTTATGTTTTAGGTTATATCATTTATACTCAAGCAAACCAAGCGATTCAGAATCTGAAAACTTTATTAATCCCAGAGGAAGTTTTGCAGTCTCAGTTTCTCCAAGATAGTAAGGACATGATCGAAAACTGCCAATATTAATAGTGTAAAAATGCTCTAATATAAATATCCTGATATATTACACAAAAAAAATTACATTTAAAGCTGACACTGAGGCGCTTATCAGACCGACAGCCAGAAATCATACCCACAAATCAGCATCAAACTTCAAATACATTTACAAACAATTCTGGCGGAGCTCACGGGCGCATCACTGCAACTCCCCCTGGCTTCTGCTCCGCGGCTGCTGAGTGAGCCCTCATCTGGGACTCTCCTCAGCTCTTTCTGGGACAGTGGCGCGGCTGCCCCTCTGTTGGTCTTCCTTGGTCTCTTGTGTTCTGGGGGCCTCTGGATGTCTGGAGTTTTGATCTCCTCCATATCTGCTTCATGCCCTGGAGGACGGGGCTGTGGCCCCCCCACACCCTCTAGCAGATTATTACATGAAGGAACCTTTTAAAAAAAAACAAGCGCGTCCATGCTCACAGGTGTACACACGGGTGATCACACCCACAAACTACACCCTTTTTGGCTCCTACCTCAAAGCACACTGTGTTCTGTTGATCTTATGTGCTGCACAATAATGTTTAATATTTAGTATTTGCTGTCATATTCCCATATATCATTGTGATGTTGTTTATTCTATTACTCTTGTTCTCTTCTGCTTGTTTTCTTTTTTCTTTCTCAACAGGTGATCCAGGTGATCGATAGATGCATTTTCTTTTTCTTTTTCTGCCCGTTCTGTTGGTTTTTGTTTTTTGCCCTTTTCCCCCGTCCCTCTTCTCAGCTGTTTCTCTTTCCCTCTTTCTTTCTCCCCTTCTTTCCCCCAGTCAAGTCTGTCCCGTATTCAGCAAGTGAAAATAAAATAAACAATAAAAGATGACTCAAATGGACCATTACGACAAGGCTGGGATGGTCAATTTGGTAAAGTAAATCTGTTGGGCATCTTTCTTTGCCTTTAGACAATAATTCTGATGGCAAAAGAGCCAAACGGGACAGGCAACAAAAAAACAAAAAAACAAAAACAATCCCAAGTTTCAAAACACTATTTTCAATTCGTTTTAAATGATACTTTACACACATATCCAAACATTTTTGTGAAAGCGTCACTAACCTGCTGTACAAGATGGTAGACGGACCCATCGGTGCTCAGAAATGATGAACTATCAACTGATGGAGCTCTCCCTACAGCAACTTACAAGGTCGGCAGAAGACTAAAACCTGGTGTCTAGTAATAGGAGTATATGATGAGTTACTGTAAGAGGTTACTGCAGATACACATGCAAATTAAAAAGACTTATGAAGGACTAATTTGACTTTCAAAAATAGAATGAATGATGTTGGTGTCCATAGTTTTAGCATATATTTTCACTTCGAAATTATGCGTACAGAAAAACATGCAATGGCATGCTCACTTTAAAGTCTGTTCTAGTTTTCATCTTTGCTTTGTGCTGTTTGCTTAGTGTTCTGATAGAATGCTCTTATCTATGCATAAAATGTATAATTTACATGAATCTAATGTCTTTGATATACTGTTTGTTGATAAGGGATTGATAACGTTGACATTTTCATATATGAAATAATTTTTTATGATTTAATATATGAAAACCACTTTATTTTTTTACATCTGTCACGTTTGCCTTCAGTTGGGATTGGCATGCAATCCCTCGATAACCTGTATTATATTTATTCAACATCCAACTTGCTGCTTCACACTAGTGTAGGCGTGTGTTAATGTGATGTTTATTTACATGCTTTTGACTGTATGTAGGAAATTCTTTTGGATTTCTTGGAGTATTTCATCGTGGACTGGGAGAATATACAAATGATAAACGGTAAATTACAAGAGTTTGTCTGAAAATTTAGCAGGAGATAAATTGTGGCCTATGGTTAGCCACAAGTAGAAACTAGCCAAATTAATGTTTCACGGGGATGTACTTTTGATGTTACTTTAGTGGCAAATCAGCACACTACCAAGCATCTATATTTATTTTTACATTATTTACATTATTATATAACCTTTTTGTTGAGGACCCAGAGCTCTGTAATGCAGGGCTCCTAGTTTTTGGGTCCAATTTGCACAATCATTAGAGGCCTGAGCTTAAAACAAGGAACTTATTCACTCCAAGCATACAAATCTTCAGTCAAATTATATGTATCAGGAACTGACTGTTCATACGCTGGTAGGAATATGTGAATTGTACCCACATTACAGGAAATGTATTTGGAGAGTCAGGTATCTAACTCTTATTTTATTTTATTTTTTAAATAAAAACTTTACGCATCTCTAATTGCTGAACTCCTCACCCTGTATCTAAGGGAGGTGCTGAACTCCTCCACTTGGGGCAGCAATTTGGTCCTGACCCACAGTAAGCACTCTACCATTTTCCAGCTAAGACCTCAAATTTGATTCTCATTCTCACTCACATTCGTGTTGATTCTCATTCCCTCCACTTCACACTCGGATGCAAACCACTACAGTGAGAGCCAGAGGCCACCACCCGATAAACCACATCATCTGAAAAAAGCACAGATGAAATTCTGTACATAAAATTTATAAACAGAATCAAAGGGCAGCCCTGGTGGATGAAAACCACATTGTTCCTCCTGTATCTGAGGTTTGACTAAAGGGTCAACTCTCCTTTCCAGCACCCTCGCTATGGAGTGTGATCTCCCTGTAGTTGAAGCACAACCTCCAGTTGCACTTTTTAAAGATTGGACCCCGGTCTGCCAATCCAGAGGGACCGCCCCGTATCATCTCCACACCATGTTGCAGAGGTGTGTCAACCAAGACAGCCCACCAACATCCAGAGCCTTTAGGAACTCAGGACAAACATCCAAGGGACAAACCTGACATTATCAGTGAAGTAATAAACATACATTCTTAAAAGTCAAGGCAATATCTTCTCAAAGGACATATTTTACAACCAAACTAGTACTAAAAAAATCATCAAGTACAGAGAAAATATCACCATAAAATATTATTACTTTTCTTCCAATGTCAAAGCTCCTGAATATCACTTTTATATTAGCATAGTTCACCTGAGAAACCTTCAAGGAAGGAACTAACCATTTAAATGAGGTTTTTTATAATGTTAGAATACATGTTGCTCTATTTAACATGGCCAAAGTTTAAAATAATGAGGTCAGCATATGTGCAGGTAATTTTTATGATCCAAATGCTTAAGTGTCAGACAGCTTGAAAACAACCAGCCCATGAGTTTGTTTTTGGGAGGGTGTTTTTGTCCTTCTATTTGCTCTGTGGTGTCAAGGTGAAGGCAGATATTAATAAAATAACCACTCAGGGACTCAGCTCTGACTATATGCAGTTGACCCACTCACCTGCTGTTTGGGGGAAGGGGGGGGGGGTCTCCAGTCAGAAGAAAACTTGCTTAAAGCAGTGAACACCCAAACTGAGGATTAACTGAAGAGACCTAGTAAGTAAGGTTTATTTTAAAATGTGAATCGAGTTCTATTGTAATTGAATAATATAATCACATTGAGCTGGAAATGCCCATCAGTGATCATTAAATGAAGCCATCCTCCTATCTTTATCCGAGTTGCAGGGGGGCTGGGGCATAACCCTGAAGTGATAGATTTAAGAGGCAGGGTACATATATACATCGAAAGAAGGACAGGCGGCTGCTCGACTTGACTGAGATGGATGCCTTCCTCAAACCATGATCCGAAGCCGTCGAGATGAAATCACATGCAGTGTTGCGAGATTTAACATTGCTATATTATTGACTTACTTCACTCGAACATGATATGAACAACTTAATATACCCTCTCTGCATATCATGTAGTTTCTACACTATATAGTTACACTTAACTTTAAAGCATGAAGCGATTGTGTTGAATACACGCAAGATGCTTACAATGTGCCCATCCTCCTCTTAGTCACAAGTTCAGTATTAGAAATCATCATTAGCTCGCAGTAGATTAATTGGATGAGTAAAAGCCTGTGTATTATTATAAAATCTCTCAAAGGGTTATTACAGGTTACTCTATCCTTGAAAAGTAAAAGATCCAGAGCCTATTTTTCAGGCTACTAACTTTTAACACAGTTAGTTGCCAAGTGCACTGATTACAGTGGAGAACTGCTGCTAACGATGTGGCCGAGGTTTGTATTTCATCTGCAAGGCCACACAAGCAAGGACGCCGTCAGAGGGCGCAGGATCGGCATGGCAAGGACTACAAAGCAGTTGGAGCAGTATGACATAAAGCCCAGTTCACACCTCAGATTCTTGTCATTTTAATAACAATAACCAAGAGTATAATCTTTATACATGACGAGTATACATTCTTGTTTTTGTGTGTTACAGAGAAGAGACAGGGTGACATGTTTATTGTACACAAGCAGCCCGCGAAGGGGTTTCAGTGGATGACACAGATGAGGAGTGGGCAGAACGGGACAAACAAAACTTAAAAACTGAAGCAAGATGGGAGCCCAAATCCCATTTACAGAAATAAAATCCTCACGCAGGTTTTCTTCTATCCTCTCAGCTGAGAGTTTTCCTTCAGCTCTTCACTGCTAGGTGCTATTTAAAACATGCAATGTACAGCATTATTAAATCACATTTCATATGAATATGTATATTGAACAAAGAAAGACAGACATGCATATAACAATTATGACAATTTCTGACTTGTATTACTCAAAATAAACAACAAAGAAACAGTCACATCAAAGAGTAAATGTAGCTCATGAATCGAATATATTGGATTTAAATGTAGTGTTTTGTGAGTATACATGTGTGCAGGTGTTGTTTAGGACTTTTTAGTTGTTGTTTCCAACTTTGTGGAGCTTTCGCTGATGGTTGGTGGAGCCTGCAGAACAGAGGAAACAGATGTGCGTCATTCATTATGAGTTACCACGGTTATTTACGAACAAGCTGTGGTTCACTTACTTTTTTCCTGAAAGAATTCAGCAGTGCTTCACGGGTCTGTGAAAATCAGAATAAAAACATTTGATGAAAAGATTTCCAAGGATATTTTTGATGACTGTTGATAATAATTTCATTAAAATAATTGAAATGACACAGAATTAACCTGAGAACAACTACAACAATAATGACATTGATTCAGCTGTGGATTTTACATCATCCACTCCTGCCATTGGCTTCAAACTTTAAATATATTCAAATGTTATCACAGTGATACAGCAGCATCTAACTAAAACTAGGTAGGCCTCTTATCTCTAGAAGTAAATGACTTTACCATTCTGTCCCCCAGGCACGTGGTCAACAAAATAAACAAACCCTAGAAATGAAAAACAAGCATTTTTAAAAAAAAGTAATACTTTTAGCAGAACAGATATTGAGTCTGATCAGTTTAATAATTGTGACCATACCTGGAATGCATTGAGCACAACAAAAGCGTAGTTCACAGCTAAAGTCACAGCTCCAGCTGTGAGGTCCATAATAAATGTTGCAAATCCAAAAATCCATGGCAAACCAAAGATTGGAGTCAGAAGAATAACTGATCTCAGGACAGTTTTGGCGGCCTGTATTTCTTTCTCATGAGACTTTTCTCTGATCCTATGGTCCAAAAGCTTCATGATTACCACTATCATGGCAAACAAGTTGATGAAAACAATTATACCAACTGGGAGAATGAATGTATAGATGGTTCCTTTCAGAAGTCCAGAATAAACCAGCCAACATGTTTCCAAACAGAAATACGCGTCTTGAGCGCCGCCGTTGTTGGTGAGAAATGTGATGAAAACAATGAGAAAAGGACAAACGTAGCCCAGGACCAACGAGAACCTCAGATAGGTTTTCTTGCCCACTTTGTGAAACAGGAAAACTGCCTGATGAAGGAGCATGGTGCTCAGGCTCAACATCCAAAAGAACATGGCCAGGTAGCAGAAATGCTTCAGAAGAGCTGCAATTCTACACCAGATTTCTGAAATGATCTCTGGTTGAGAAGATGCCAGAAAACAGCAATCTGCCACCAGCAAACAAAGAGAAATGTTCACGTGGGCGGTGTGGCGCAAATGTAGAGTATTTGTCTTGACTACTTTGCTCCAGACGATCAGTTCTATCAGGAGGCTGATAACGAGTGACACCACTGATGCAGAAAGTCCAGCGTACGTTATCTCGGTCATGTAAGGGATTTCAATGGGATACCGAGACATCAGAATGGCAAATGAAGTCAGATGATTGCAAATGCACTCGTCAGGTTTAGAAGCGCCCCCCCATTTACATCCTTCATCTGTCCATTTGCTCTGGTTGTAGTTCCATGAGACACATTGCAGACTAACATGGCGACGCCTTGCTGTGAGCAATGGGAACTTTAGTGTAATCTCAAGGTTTTCTTTTCCCCGTTGAGTGGTTGTTGACACAACAATGCTGTTGATGTTAAATGCTTCTGTTGTATTGGGCAAATAGTCCTGCAGGTATTTGAATCCAGCTGTTTTTACAGTGCCATTTCCTGAGCTTCTAACAATGACTTCGGCATTGAACACCGTATTGGTGCATTTATCTTCGCTGCATGTGTCTATATGTATATTTTTTTGATCAGAATCATTACTTATGTTTGATATCGCAATTAAATCCTCAACTGACTGCAGATATTTCTCAGCCAGGGTTTTGTTACTTTCAGGATCCGGTTTGTTCCATGAGTTTTCAAGAGACCCATCCAACAGATTACTAGATGAGGCCAGGAAATTCTGAAAAGAACAACAAAGTTTTGAGGGTGGTATAACTACGATGCTTAAAATGAATCATAAAAGACTGAACTAGTCAAAGTTTAACACATGCAGCTTCTTATCTGCTTCCCTAGTTGGTCATTGATTGACCCTCGATTTCTTTGAGTAAACCACTGTCAACACTAATAACTTGAGGTGACTGTTGTTGTGATTTGGCGCTATATTAATATAATTGATTTGAATTGAATAGAACAATGGCTAAGGTGGTGACATGTGGCTTCCTGTGGCTTCTTCACAATAAAAGGGACAGGGTTATTCAGCACTTGAACTCTTTTAATATGAAGTAACAGCAGCAGGAAATTCTTGATGTGCATTAGCAATGAACTAATTGTAAATAGTAAAACTGTTAATGTATTCAAAAAAGTGAATAAATAGATTGGAAATTTGTTTCCTTATAACTCTTAAAGATTCCAACTTTACGTACAAGTATTTATACTTATTCCTTTTAATATTTGTTAAAGAATTTAAATAATAATAAAAATAAAGCTTCTTTGATACTTACTTTAGTTGTGGTTACACTGTCTACTACTTTGACTAGTCTGACTAGTTTGTCACTCATGGTGCTGAGTACATCAACTGATGCGTTCACATTAGCAAAAGTGTTAATACGCCCTGAATTTTGAGTGACATTGTTAAGGTTAGAAAATATTGTTTCTGCATTTTTATCTAATGCCCCAAGTCCAGTGTCAGAAATCTGTAACAAGAGCACATATGAATTAGTCAAGCCTAATTGTATCAGCTACAGTGAGTTTGACAAAAAGATGAACAACTTTCCATTTTTCTGTTGCGTAAAAATCTTGTTACAGTTGGAGAATTTGTTGCTATATTAAGTTTGAGATTATTAAGTTACTTTCCCATCATATGGAAACAATTTCTTAACATAAATTATGAAACTAAGCTTACTTACTTTTGCATTTTGCAGTACGTTGTAGAGGTCTGAGTTCACACATCCTGACACCTCATCTTCCCATTGCGCATTTGAGCTGAAAATATGAATTTTAATATTGAATATCTTAATATCTTAAGTGTCACAAATAAATGTTCACTTATGAACTGGTCAAATGATGTTCCCAGTCACAAATGCAAACAATCATTGTTGGTGGACTCTTGGAGTCATTTCAATACAAAAAAATAAATAAAAATAGTCAAACAAATAACTGATACATTATTACATAATAAATATGATCAGCAGTTCGATTCTTACTTGCATTTCCTTGTTCTTTGCCCAGCAGAGTTTGTGCATTTTAAGACTGAAGTGAAACCAGCTTTGGTGTCTCCCCATACACCTTGAGCCGCACAGTACAGTTCACGATCTGTTTTGGCGAAGAAACTTTCATACATTAACTAAGACAATATCAAAAGTTAATTTAGAGAATGGTGAGTTCAAATCAATTCCTGTTGCAGAAATTATATCCTATAATGTCTCATAAAAATTTGGTCACTCCAGAAACACTCTCTCATCTTTGAAGTAATCAATATAGCCTGCATTCATTCATGATTCTAAAACACTCTCCTATTTTTTATATAATAAGTATAAGAAGCAATTTAATACTTTACCCCATTTTATTTTACACTCTACATATCACTATTACTATATCTATTATTACAAACTACTACTGTCATGGTAAAAAGAAAGTGCACCCTCTTTCACTTGGTTTTATATATCACAACAATATAAAATAAATCCTCTGGACCTTAACAGATTCACAACTATTTAACTACAACCTCAGATACACAACATTTTTAATACATTTATATTCTGTGTCATTATTTATGTAAGAAAATTTAAGTTACATGCAGAAGCACAGTGTCCACCCTCATTAAGTACACCCCATGATTCAGTAGCTTGTAGAACAACCTTTATTGTGGACAAACCTCTCCACGTTGGTCCTGTCTTTTCAAAGGACAGTGTTCCAGAAGTCCTGTGGTTTGTTCAGATGCAACTTTGCAAACCTAAGCCATGCTGTCAATTTGTTTTTAAAGAGAAGAGTTGACTCCTGACAGCCCTTCCAAACAAGTAACACTCATTCTGCCTTTTTGTAATTATATTGTGTTTAACATTAACATTTAACATGCTAACTGCGTCTGAGATGTAGCTCTTGGTTTTTTATGTAATTTGTCTGCACAGTCTGACCTTGGGTTGCTAGGATGTGCACTCCTGAGAAGATTTACGGCTGTCTTGAACATCTTCCACTTGTGAGTAATATTTCAGATTGCTGAATGATGGACGTTCACTTGTTTGGTCTTAGAACCCCACCCAGGATGGTGAGTAACAGTTGTTCCTTTAAGATCATTGTTGGTGTCTTTCTTATGTGTTAACACACTACTGAATGCTCCAGATCAGCAAACTGATCTGCTTTTACAGAGGTGCTCAAACTTACTGACTTACTTCCAAACTTACTCATGGCAGGGTACGCCGGTGATTAGGAAGTAGACCCAAAAGCAGGACACGGAGGAGGACAAAACTGTGGTAAACTATAAGCGAGCTGTTTATTGTGGCTGATGAAAACCAGGAACATACAACAAGACATTATCAACAGTGGCAAGAACTAAAACTAAACCTAAACTGGGCGAGACTGGCAACTATGAATGAACTATGAAACTATGACAAAACTGTGATACCTGACCTGAACATGATAGTGAGCATGATAGAAACTGTGAGGAAAAACCAAGAGTTAAAACAATGAACATGCCCTGAACACAATCATGCAAAACACCAGAAACACTGACATGACATGGGGGAAGTATAACAGATGACCTGACGATGACTAAACGGAAACACACAGACTAAATACACTCAACGGGTGATCAGCAGTAGAAAAATATGAGGGAACAGCTGACTAGAATGAACATAATGACGCCACAGTGGAAGTAAAACTAAAACAATGAACAAAAGTACCCTTCAAAGTAAAACAGGAAACATATTAAGACGCAGACATGACATGAGCTAAACAACATGAAACACAAGACAGACAACGACGTGGACATGGTGGACTGACGTGGAGAATGAACACTGTAGAAACATACAGAGGGAAAAGGGATACTGGAGATGAGGCAAGGACATAAGTAAGCACCTGTGACAGTGACACTTAACACAGGGGTTAAAACACAAGGGGAACTTAATCAACAAAATAACTAACATGGCAACCTAAAATGAGCTTTGGACAAATAAATGACAGCCAAACATAAACAATGAATATCAAAATACCAAAAAACTCAAAACACTGAGCCATACGGCTACAAATATCACTTCTTTTTATTTCTATTTCTTTTAATTTAATTGTAATTAATTATGAATACATTTTTGGGCATTTAAAATGGCAAATCTTTTGACTGTCCTTATTAAGGTAATTAATTATTTATAAATATTTTAGTTGGTTTATCTTAAAATATCAGCAACTTCAGACAACTTTAGTGAAGTGGCACTTTTTGAATAAAACTAAATCAGATAAAAAAAAATTCATTTATTTCTGCCAAAGACAAGAACTTTGTTGTAAGATTTTTTTTTTAAGCTATGTGTTTAATTCTTATTACAAAATAACTTACCGCCAATGATGTTGAAGGGCACCGAAGCACTTTTATTTTGCTCTTTTCTGTTTTTAAATATACACGATGCTGTAGTTTGATTGTTGTTTACACCACAGTCGATAATTTTTTGAGCCGAATAAATTTGTGTTTTGTCAGCTGCAAGAATGATACATTCATGTCATGGATTTTCATAACAGTTCTTGCAAAATAACTATTTTGAAATAAAATTATTTGGCAAATAAGAAAAGAAAAGAAAAGAAAAGAAAAGGAAATATCCATACCCGAAGTTGCTGAATAATCTTTGAGGCCGTCACCATTCCATGAGACAATATAAGGTTCAGTGCTATTATTTATCTCACACTGGGCTGCTACTTGGAGAACATCAGTTTTAGTTTTGCAGCGTGGAAATGATGGCACAGTGAAAACAGCAATCTCTGGCAATAGAGCTACATCCAGTACATCACTGCCTTTGTGTAATATGTTGATTGTACTGTCATTGCCAAACTTTTTGGTTTGTTGGTAGAGACACAAGTATGTTCCTAGAAAAGAAAAACGTGGTTAAAGCTGGTACAAGTAGGAATTAGATTTAATCCAGATAGTGATACTGAGTTTTTCAGCTCATAGTGCCAAACTAGTTAACCATTTAAAGCCTGAAACATTCCCAGAAAAAAAGTGAATGAAATATTTATTTAACATTCTGACATAAAAAAAGAAAGAAAGAAATATCAAATTGCATATACAAGTTTTAATTTGTATCACAGTCGAGATGTAAAGAAAAATCTTTATTTCTTTATTTTTTAATTGCTTAAACATGTATTGTACAATTTATTTAGTTTGTTTCTGGGTTTACACTAATTATATAAAAGTCTCACATACATACAAACAAACATACCTTTCCAGAGTTCTGTCACTTTATTAAGCTGGATTTGACTCTCTGTTTTTGATAATGTTGTGACAGTTGAAACTGTTCCATTAGTTATGTCATATTGCCCATTGATGTTTGTTATACTCCACTGTGGTGTAGTTCCAAGGTCCTCCGTTGCTATGCAAGTGATGATTTTGTTAGTGTCCCCATAAGAGACCGGCATGTTGTCTGGCATTATTAAGCGGACAACACCTACAGAGAACAAACAAACGATAATCAGTTGCCATGGAAACCACATACCTCTAGATGGTATGGCATATGGAAATACTGCCACCTTGCGGCCAGTCATTGAAACTTGAAAACCTTTACAGTTCCATGAACACCATAGGTTGAATAGCACTGCAGCTGCAGATAAACCATCTGTTTTAGAGGAAGGTCCAGAGGAGGTTGGAGATAGTTACCATCACGGGCTCATCCGGCCAGGATGAGACTGAACAGTCAGTACTCACTTGCAGGTTTTTTGTTTTATTGAATAATGAGCAAAGGAAAGACACACATGGACTGCTATCTCTCAGCTGCCGCCCCATGAGGGAGTGAAGAAAGAGTGAGCTGTAGGTGAGTGCAGTCCTTATATAACGGGTGACAAGTGAGTGCAATTAATGGAAAGCGCCACACCCAATCAAAGGTGAGGAAAAGAAAAAAGGTGCATCCGGTGAAGTGAATGTGCTAAAAGAGCCTTTACAACACCACCTTTAGAGCACATTATTATAAACTAAAACAAGATGCATGAGGTTCAGAGAGATTTTTGTCTCTCACTCATATTTTCTTGATCTTTATCAGAGTAATATGACTGCATCCAAAGCATTGTTGACCTCAGGTTATCATTTTATAATAGAAACAAAGAAATAAAATTGGGATTTTAGCGGGCAGCAATTTGTCAACGATTGAAAGGTTATTTAGCTGAACTGTTCCTTTAAATAAGAGCGTTAATAACAATTTACACAGTGAAAAACGTATTTATAATATGCATAAAATTTCATGGTAGTCCCTCCAGTAGCTGTCGAGATATTTCAGTCTGATATGTTGGTGGAGAATGATACTCAAGGAGCGCTAAAATGATATCTAAAACACAATCTAACAGAATTTATATAAAATTTAAGAAAAAAAAAAAAACTTCCGTCCAGGTTGGAATTAACTGCGCCCTCCACAGGTAGTTTACATTACCTGCAGTCTCCATATCAAGCGAGGCTGACAGATTTCGGCTGATGGCTTCTGAAATGTTAATCAGAGTTTGTGAATTGACAGTGGAAGCGACGCTCATTGTAAAATCTATGAAGAGGCTTCCGAGCCTTCAATAAAAAACAAAGACAGATTTTAGTCACATATCTAAAATAAATTTAATAAAACATTTAATTTGTGATTGCACGAATATACCTGAATCCTATAATGTTTAAAAAGTCAAATCCCCTCAGAGTGCTGTACGCTGTTTTCATCTAAGAGGTAACAAAGGATGGACAAAAGAGTTAATAATAGTATTCTTTATTTATTATTGCGGTGATAAAGACATTATATATTTTTTAAATGACTGTTTATTACCTGTTTCATCAAGTCATCTCTGCAGTTTTTATAGTCCGTGGTTTCTGTGCCTTTCAGACACTTTTCATATTTGTTTGCCTGTGCAATTTTCAAAGATCCTGTAATGGTAACTGTGAGCAAGAAAATGTCAGTATATATATATATATATAT